AGGGAGCGAGAGAAAGGAAAAAAGAAACAGAGGAAGAACTATATAAGAGCCGAAAAAATATTGGTGTTAAAAGATCAACAAATAGATGAAGAATTTACATTTTTTGAAGAGGTATAAAAAGAGTAGCAATTTAATATGACTGACAAACACACACATGCATGCACATGTCGATTCAGTAGCAAAATAGATTGTTTTGAACTCGGAGTCAAAAAGAAAATTCGTGTTTATTTAGTGTTAATTTTCATGCATAAATTTATATATCATTTAAATTTCTGTAAATGGGGTAAGACAAGTATGCCTATTCTAAGTGGACTTATTCAACTCTTATTGGCGACCACAATTATAACAGGCATAAAATATGTAAATGATAAATGGCAGACACAAAAAAGGAAATTACAAAAACTCCTAAAGAGGATAGTGAACGAAAGCGAGAAGGAAGGATTAGACAACAAGGCATGGTTGTTAGCAAAAGCAACAGCCCGACATGCGAATTACGAATTGGAGATGCTAACACTGAAATGTAACACTGAAATCTGAATGGAATAACGAAATGATGTCTTCTAAAACCTAAAAAAAGTATTAATGTATTGCTGGATAATCTTCTGACAGATTACGAAAATCTCCACCATCCATTTACTCTGTCCCTGTTGGCTCCAATCTCTCCCGGGAGTATCAATTTTTTTAAACCTCTTTTCTCATTATATGTCCTAGAAATTTCAAGGGCATCTTTCTGACAAGTGTTTCCGTTTTCTTTAAAAGTTCATAGTTACTCAAATGTTAGGTTCATGGTATTCTCACCATCCATCTATAGAAACACGTTTCTGTTGTTTCAACTATTTATTTTTAGCTTGGAATGTATTTGTGTGTTATACAGAGCAACCTCTGTTCTCGAACGTCTCACATGTCAAACAAATCGGTTTTCAAAATGCCTCAGTTTTCGAACAAACTTCCGGTTCTCGAACAACATTGCCGATCCGATCCGAGCCGAGCCGAATCGAGTTAACCCGAATGGAATCATTTGTGAGTCGATCGCCATGCTATATACTTTTGTGTGTTGTGTTGTGCTTGTATTTCCATATTTTTTCTCTTTTTAGTCCTTAGTCATGGATCCAGATAAAGCTAACAGGGATACTGGTAAAGAAAAAAGAAAATTAAAGAGAAAAAAAAATTGTTGGTGATATTGTCTCTTCCCACTCCGGCAAATCAACTATTCTTAAAAATAAAGAGGCAATCATGTCTTTCTTTCCCCTTTCCAAACAATAACATCTCTTTTCTTCCCCTTCCAAATCTCATTCCACTTACGCCATCAACTCTCCTACTTACTGGTACGGTAAAATTAAAATGTTAGTCTATATTTTATCGATTTATTATTGGGTTTATTTATTTTTTTCTTAGATTTAATAATTTTCATTAGTTTTGTGCATAAACTTATGAATAAAGAACTGTTGTAAAAGGTTACTCAATCATCTCGGGACTAGGAACGGATTAATCTATTTTACATTAATTTCTATTGAAAATAGTTTTTTCGGTTTACGACCTATTCGGGTTACGAACGGGATTCAGGAACGAATTAAATTCGTGAACTGAGGTTCCACTGTATATTTTTTCAATAGCTTGAGGTTATGGATTTAAAGAATTTCTTCAATTTTTTACCATTTTTCTAGTCATGTATCTTAGATTGGGTAAGGAGTAATTCTTTCAGGAATTAAGATATTGGAAGAAAAAAATCCCGGTCGCAGATTTATATTTTGATAAGATTCGATAGTGGGACTCTCGAGAATATTCTTCGAAGTCAGTTACTTTCACTTTTAATAAGTGTGGCATTCTTTAGACAAAAGTTATGGTTGAATTTATTTCAATATATAACTAATGCATTTGATAAAATTGTTCTGTATAAATTCTCTTATGTGTTCATGGATATATTTTTTAAATTTCTGCGAGTTTCCTAAGGTATTGTGAGGAACAGGTCTGACAATTTATATATACCTGCTTCTGAATAATTATTATTGTGAATCAGATAGTTCTAATGAACTTATCAACCCAATAGTATAACAGCTGAGTGAGAATTCGACCGTGCTAAACCTTTTCTAATACTAATCTTGCCAGTTTATGCGTTATCTCCCAGAAAGAGTCAGTTTACATATATATATATATATATATATATATATATATATATATATATATATATATATATATATATATATATATATATATATATATATATATATATATATATATATATATATATATATATATATATATATATATATATATATATATATATATATATATATATATATATATATATATATATATATATATATATATATATATATATACATATATATATATATATACAAATATACATATATATATATACAAATATATATATATATACAAATATATATATATATATATATACAAATATATATATATATATATATATATATATATATATATATATATACATATATATATATATATATATATACAAACATATATATATATATATATATATATATATATATTTTTTTTTTTTTTTTGAATAAAAGACAGCCCACGTTAAGATTCCATGTAATAAGCTATTTCACCACAACCCCTTTAACAGGGTTCTGGATCATCAGACTTTACTTCCAAAAGCTGAAATGAAAAATGAAAAGAAATTCACACGTTTTTTACGGACCTCCTCAAGTATACGCAAAGTTAACGAAGTGAGGTGGGAGAGAGGATATGAGTGTGCCATATGTATCATTTCCTATTTTAACCCCAGTGTGTCGGCTGGATGTTGCTCAAATTTAACGCGTCTCGTCTCTAGATAAAGGTGGTTAAGGGGTGAGCGATAAGAACTACATTAAAGGGAGACGTTACAACAACACCAATAAATTACACGACAGGTTTCATTCAAATTCTTAGACGCTGTCAGTTCGCGTTACTTTAACGTGCATATTTGGGAGGTTAAGGTTTGATAAATATCTAAATTTTCAAACAATCTACGAAGAAATTAATTTGAAATTCGGTGGAGTTTTGAGTATTTTCTATGAAGCAGTCTATTGGAAAAATCCATAGACAGAACATTGAAAGAGTAATCCAATTTATATTTAGTACTTTTTTCCACTAAAGCTTTTTATCTTATAGCTTGTTAGGTTGACATTTATTCGTTTGATTTTTGTTCATTAAGTAAACTCGTGGTTGTTTTTATGTATCCAGTTATCAACAGTTATTCCCATTTAAATAATTTTATTTTCCCCATTGGGGTAGTATCTTTCAATCTCAATTAAAATACTAATCTAAAACTTTCCCTTCGTGCTATTTAAAATTCACTTCCAATTGGAGAATATTAGAGGAGAAATTTAGAAGAGATGTCACTAGCAGAAAATTAGGCCCTTCTTTTACAATTTCTTATCTACACATGTCTTAAACCCCTATTTGTAACCACATACCTATATCGTCTTATATGCCTATGAGTTCCTATATACACCTACACACACATTCACACGAAACGATATATGTATATTTCCATCTTTACACATATACACCTGCAGAGAAAACGCACATTCACATGTCTCCATACCTATCTCCATGTATACTTATACTTACATATATACATATACACACAAGGACATCTGCATATCCATATATATTCATACGCACATATATATATTTACACATCCATACGTATACACATATACACATACATACACACACCCATATATGCATACATACATACATACATATATATACATACACACACATATGCATATGCATACGCAATATGCAGAATATCTACCTACCCACATATGCGTTAATTTGCACTTACATATATCTACCCACGTATTTGTCCCTATCCTCATGTCCACAGGTGCATCCACTTATGCCTGCGTTCGAAGACTATCTCAGTATTTAATTACATTATCTATATCTTTACACATATAATATTACCCGATCTTTCATATTTATGGCAAAACATATAAGTACCTATCTAATTGTACATCTCCACACTCACAAAGAAAAAAACAAAAAAAAACTGGTATGCTTCTTTTTCCGTATAAAAACATATACATGTACATATCAACAGGTGTCTCAGTGTGCAAATACATTATCATAGTTGTATACATATAGTCATGTGTTAGCGTTCACGTGTGCATAGTAATATTTCTAAAAACAAAGGGAATATAAAACATTCAAAATTGCTGTTCCTATATGATTATTTCTTAGTGTACTGCTTAGGTTTAGGTTGTTTTTGTGCCGGCAAAAAAACGTGTGAATTTCTTTTCATTTTTCATTTCAGCTTTTGGAAGAAAAGTCTGATGATTCAGAACCCTGTTAAAGGGGTTATGGTGAAATAGCTTATTACATGGAATCTTAACGTGGTCTGTCTTTTATTCAAACATATCTGCTCTGAATTTCACATTGAGCTCTCTGGATATCATCCTCCTCAGGTCTACCCATACGGATTACCTAAATTTGCATAAACTATATATATATATATATATATATATATATATATATATATATACCTACAGATCCGCCATATGCAAACATCTATTAAAGAACAGGGATTGTGCAGCCAAATTTAGTGCTGACTGGTTCACCGTGTTGTCCCGGTCTCACTCTTTATTTCATTTGAAGGTTCTGGAGGCACTTCACATCGGGTCCCGCAAACAACGTGAGGGTTTGTTGGGATTCGCTGTCATTTGTCTCTAGTTCCTTCCGCATATATATATATATTTTTTTCCCCATTTCTTTTTATTGTACATTTTTCTGTATTAATTTTTAATCTCCCGTTGAAGCCTGAAGAGCGGGTGCGAAACCGGTTGCTTCCCCCTTGTAGTCGTATTTTTTTTCTTCTTTTTAATATGTCTTGTAATATTAAATTTCATACTTTTATTTCGATATATATATATATATATATATATATATATAGTCCTATGGGTAAAAGAGAAACTCGGAGAAGTTCCACTACGGAATTTGTGATCGAGCGGCGCTATATCGAGTCTAAT